ATTTCTTCTTCTATTTAACTGCAGCTCATAAATAATAACTAGATATCGCAAGTATATATAACATGTGCAGTGTCTTTATATATATATGTATGTATATATGTATATAATATATAATATATATACGATGTATTCTCGAAAAATAGCTAGCTCCTAATTCAATCTTCTTACTTTAACAGTTTCCTTTTTTAACGCAACGATATTACACACACTCACACACACGTGATATATTATTATTATTATATACGCATATATCTTAGTTTCCTTTTTTTCCCTTCTGCCCCATGTACCTATATTATATCCTTTACGATACATAAACCTGCGGCTATATATATACACCGCAGATACCTTTATCATACTAGACTCTCCGCGGGATTTGACGCGCGACGAGATAAACCACTTCGAGCATGCGTCGCACAGCATCTACCCCCTCCTGCGTGTTTATATAATATCACACCACTGAATCAATTTTCTTCTCCGGAGGTGGATATAAGTCTGTCGAACGGTGAACTTGACGGAGGTGGTTGTGGGAGCCGTGAAGGGGTGGCCCTGCACGTACTCATTTGTGGCGGGTAAGAGGAGCTATAGTATATACTTGCGGATTTGTTAGCAAATTGGAAATGGATTTTACTTTCAATCCTACGCCTTACCCATCACATTACTCACCTTATACGTATATGATATTATCTTTTACCATCGTCGAGTACTACCGCCGTGAACTACCTATACATAATATATATTATTATTATTATATAAGCATCAAACCGTAATCTTCGGTAGATATAGTTTATAGATAACGCGTAGGTACCTAAATGCGTAAATATATATATATATATATATACATACTATAATAGCAGGTCACTGTATGTGCGATGAATCAAAAAAATTGCATTTAAAAATACTGTAAAATAATATAATTGCATACAAGCTTCCTCAAACTTTACATTGTAATCGTGACAATTAATCTTAGTCAGTACTTACGACGATCGCGACCCCAGTGTATACACGGAGGGATCAGTTTTTGTTTATATTTAGTTGTTCCTATACTTAACCAATGTATTTCAGCAATAGTTGCTGTTGTAGTGGCCACTTTATGTCATCGCGTTAAATCCCGTAAAACTCTTTCTCGAAAAAGCCGGTGAAAACTTTGTGGCAGCGTGAAGAAAACTTCTGTTCCATTAAGCTTATCTGTCACGCGCGACGGCAGTGAGAACGGATTAATACTCGGCCTACAGCCGTGTCAAGCCTCGTCTTTTCTTCGCACTAGGTTATTATTTCGTGGCTCGTCATTCGTCACTACAGGCTATTCTTCCCGAGTTAACAAATCTTCTAGGAACAAGTGAATTTACAGTGTATATACGACTTGCTTACAGTGGAGAACTACGCGGATAATACAGGCTATACGACATTTAATCCGTGGCCATGGCAAGACTTAGTTCACCTATATAAATACTTTTATAGCTATTAACCCCGTGGCTCCTCGATTTTATCAATTTTCCTGTATACAGAAGAAGTTATTTTGAATGAGTAAATATTATTATTTAACTTATCTATATAGGTATAAAGCGCAGACATCTTACTCGAATATTAAAAACTTTTTTTGATGACGAGTATAGGTCGTATAGCTACTACAGCAATAGTGGTTAAAAAAATTATCCTCTAACGGCGATTATATTATAATATTATTATTTAAATTTAGTGAAATAAATTGCCTAGAAATCCCCCGGTTCAGGTTCACAACTTCTTTAACCGTAGCATATAATTTCAAATCAGCTAACGAGTTATCTTCGGGAAATCTACTTGCTGCATGCACGAGAGTTTTAGGAATAACTCTACATTATATATGTTTACGCTCGGACTAATCGCAATGTGTAAATTAATTATTAACGACCCCCGCGTTTCCTCGTTAAGAACACTAAAAAAGAAATAATAGCAATAACAATCGGAGTAAGAAAAGTAATAAATAGTTACAGTTGGACGAAGACGCTACTGCGGTTACGCCAGAGCGGATTTAAGACAATGGCTATGTATAGCTACAGTTTATGGTAACGGGTTAATTTCGTTTTTGTTTCTTTCTTGTAATTACTATAACGTCACTGTAATCGTATTTTATAATTATTTTTTTTTTTTTGATACCTAAGAAATCATGTCTGGGAAAATGTTTCTGATTGGCTCATCAAAACGACTGCGTCAATGATCACACCGTGTGAAAAAAAATTATCGTTAAGTTTTCGCACGTTTATCGAATTGTTTCCTGTTTTCAAATAATTTTTAGTCAGTATTTATATGATATAATAAAATCGTGATCAACTGCCGAAATTTAGGATTAACGAGTGGACAGTTTTTTTTTTCAATATAAATAGAAAGTATTACCTATTCTATACATCAACTTTATACATGTACATGTGATGAAATATCGATTTTTAGAAATGTTTTCTGCGACGGGATTTTTAATACGTTTACGCGTGAGGGGAGAAAAATATCAATAGAGCAACACACAATAGTCGTGCGATAGTTATAGTGCGAAGGTGTTTGTGATGAGGATGATGTTGGGGGAAGGGTAATAAAACAAACTTTCGACTTCGGGTCGTGTAGAAAACCGCGAGTGTTTGGCGAGATGATAAACGACCCAGCTTTTGTAGCGAATTTTTCCGGTTGCTAAGACGTTCAGCCCATGCGGAGAAGTAAACGTGTATGTGTGTGTGTGGTGTGTATATGTATATGTACGTGGATGAGTCGAAGGGAATTGTCCAAAAAGTTTTGTCACCTTTTGTCAAAACACCGTACTTACGGACAATAGAGGTCGATGGTACATAAAATCTGAATAGAAAACGGAGAGGGATGCCTTGGTGATGACTATTTATCATGAATAAAAAAAGGAAAAAAAGAAAAGAAACGCCACCGCCGTAGCCTATCCAATACCTTATACCTACCTGCGTGGTACGAAACGTATTAAATCGACATAGCGCTTTTTTATGTACGAGTCCCCAATTTTTCGGATACATCTCATGAAAATATATATTATGTTCACATGTAAAAAAAAAAAATAGTTAAAAATATAATAATAATAATAATAATAAAACAGTTTTAAATGTGAAAACCAGCACGTGGAAAATTTCAGGGAATTGTCGAAAAACCTTCTTTCGTAGGTATACAAAAGCGATACGCAGCGGGTATACCTGTTGTTGTTTGTAGTACGCATATATAGTTCAGTATATAGAAAGTACACTCTGGGGAGGAATATTTTCCTAATAACTTTAGTGGCGTACGGATAGGACAAGGGATTAGGTTTTTAGCGAACGTATATAATCGCACGTTTTGACGAAAAGAAGACGCGGTTAAATATATATAAATGGAATAGAAGAGTTATTGGTATATATATATATATATATATACTCGCGTGCCAGAAATGAATGATGTCGCTCCCTTTTATTATGTTCTGATAAAAATAATAATAAAAAGTTTGTTTATTTATTTTTATTATTATTATTTTCGGTGAATGACGATGATGGAAAACCGCAAAGCAATTTTTGCTTCCGTTTATACTATCATCACGGGTACGCAAGATATGTGTGTGTGTGTGTGTTTTTACACTGCACATGCCTCAGTATATAGATATGGAAGTAGGGTATTGAATATGAAGGGATCACGAGGTGAATGGATTTTATTTCGTCGCAACGGCATCAACGCTTTTAGCGCGTTGAACAAACATGGTCTGAAAGATTGGTTATTCCGATTAATGCGTCATCGATTGTACGTGATGGCACGTCTCTGATTCTCTGTGACGAAATCACTATCAAACCCGTTATATCCACATTAACTCTCAGAATATGTAACAAACAAAGAAAAAAAAAATGTAAAAAAATGAATGATATAAATAGAACATTTTGATTAATTCGCTACGGGCATTATAGATTTTACTTCGACGTGTGTTTGATTCCACCGAATCAAAGCGAGTCTTTCAATTACGTTTTGTTATACTAAAATGCGCGTGTTTGTTATATTTTATGTATTATGTTTACGTATAAATAAAAAAAGTTTCGTATTTGTCGAGAAACTACGTTAGAAAATTGGATAGGCAAGAAACATAAGCGAAAATATATTATTCTGCTTATACAAGAGAATATGGAACAGAACCTTGTGTTCACACACACTCATACATACGTACAGACATATATTTTACATGTGTTCTATTCGATTTGTATTAAAAATGTTAATGTAAAAAAACATTATTTCTTTCTATAATATTTCGCTCAGTTATCGAATTTTTTGATTTGTTTTTTTTTTTTTTTTTATTAATATTCTTTTGAAACCGAAAAACGTATGCGGATCTTTTCGAGGCTGATACGAAAACGCAAAACAGATGTATAAGCATTTTATTATATTATATAATTATTATAAGAGGTCTAGTCAGACACTGTTGTTTTACTATACGCACTTTATAAAATATTACATTTTAAATAATAAGGACTAACGTGTATTTAAATTTTTTCCTTGATCTGTACGCGTTTATATTTTTTTAAATATAATCCTACGAGTCGTAGAAAGTTTAGACAATTGTATACCTAAAGTATAAACTACAGCTGACCATGTTTCGCGGTCGCTGGTTTCGACGCTTTAATCCGATAACGACGATTTTAGCCCAGCCATATCAAACACTTTCCCACTTTTCTCACCCTCTTCGTGTTTCTAACAAACCTAGATTCCCGGGAAATATATTTGATTTTATGCATCCTTGAAATCACCTTCTTCTCTTCTCCCATCAGCTCGTTGTTTCCCGAAAGCCCTAGGGGATTCACTCGCGAATAGTAGGTCAAAAATCATACTACCGCCCAATTAGCTCTTTACCGTTTCCGTCGCCGACGACGAGTTGTCTAATGAACTGGACCGACCTATGACTCCCTAGCCTATGTTTACAAATCCTTTGTAGATTATTATATTTACAGTTCAAAGATGCAATTTGACGAATTCGTAATAACTAGTTTACTTGTTTATTTTTATAGGCTTTCCTCGAGATGGCGGACGAGACATCGGCATCAGCCATGGTTACATACTTCACAACGTGCACGGCTCAGCTCAGAGGTCGCGCTGTGTTCATACAGTTCAGTAATCATAAGGAGCTGAAAACGGACCAAACGCACAGTAATGCCGTAAGTCTTTACAATATATATATATATATGTATAAAATGTAAAAACTTTTAAATTTTGAAGATGAAAAAGTTTTTGTTATTATTTTTTTTCGGGAATTGAGTTTTTAATTTTTAAACGAGTATAGCTTGTTGCCCGTCGTAGATAAATTGTGAAAAAATATTCGCATAATATATTTGAAGCTCAAGAGTACGGGAGAGTGTGGAAATAATAATTTCTGTTAAAAAAAAAAAAATAATAATAAACCATTAACTTTGTTTAAAACAACGTTTCAAATTCAATTTCAAAACAAACACATTTTGTTTATATACATGTATTTGAATATTAAACTTCGTCGCTTTTTTCCTTATTAGCAATTACAATCATGATAACAACACTACTTCTCGCGAACCAATTCAATTTTGACCAAGTTAATAAATTAATAAACTTTTTCTGTAAAAGATGACAATGAAGTCAATGTAGCACCGACAATACTGCCCTCACGATGGTGATAATATTCTGTTTCCAAAAACTATAAAATTATATGTGCGGTATTATTCTAGAAATAAAAATCAATATAATTTTTGTCCGAACCGTTCAATCGACAGAAATTTGAACTTTATTCTATTAAAATATTATCATCGTGTACATTATATATATATAAATATATTTATCAGCAAAAACAAAGTTTACAGAACTACAATGATGGGGTTCCATCCGCGGTATCTCGAGTGTATATTATTTTATTGTGTGTAAAATATATCATTGTGATGGTGATGGATTTGATGAGAAAAGAAAAAAGTCAAACAATTCTTTTGCTATTATATGAATGTCACGACTTATATATTATGTTATAGTCATTTTTATTTGTAGTGGGTGTGTGACCGTCTAAACTATTTTTTTTCATATGATATTTTTGAAGTATGGTCTTTGCTTAGAATATCATGACCAATAATTGTTTATCAGCTAAACAATTATCTTAATATTTTTTGGTTTATCATCATGCATTTATCGTTTAGGCGAGAGACCACACGCTTAATTTACCTATATATTTTTGTATACATTTACATACCGCGGTATTTAGTCGTATATAGAATTTAATACTAACATAATTTTTTTTTTATAATTAATTATTTAGCTTCTCCATTAATGTCCATTTTATTGACTTTTTCTTATTACTTAAATTATTGTTTTCATTATTACTATTTTTTTTTTTTTTTTTTTTTTTTAATTTGTAATGTACAGAGTAGTTGTTGAGTGAACGACGACGTATTATGTAACTTATAGTTTAAAGATACTAACTATTTACTACTGAGCTATATAATATATTTATACATTTACATTTAAATGTATACCTAAAGAGTGTGTAATATGACATCGTTATAGATATTTCTCCTAAACAGCCACTACGTCTATATAAATATATATATATATATATTTATAGAGAAAGAGAGTTTCCAGTAGCTCGCTAAAAACTTTTAACGAGCTTATTACAAATTAAAATCGTTTTTTAACCCACCTCACTCTTCGTGTCCTCGCTTTTATGAACCAGTATATATATATGTATATATTTGTACGTCTGCATTCCAACCAGCATTCATCCTTCCTCATCTATACGGGGTTAAGGTTTGTGTGTACATGTACTTTACCCCGTGTCATATTATTAATTCCCCGTTTGTCGTCGCTGCGTACACATCGCAGCACAAACATAGGATACGATTCGTAAAATAGTGACATTACTCCGAACAGGACTCTAAATAAAAACGTCCGACATTACAACGAATAAATATAATATAATGTCTACCATGTGAATATGTGATATTCACATATGTATATATATATCGCAAACGTTTATGCGTATGCTCTGTGGGATCTCTTCACTTGGACTTACATAGACTTAGTGGTAGTGTGTTCGTATTTCGTATCCGGTTTCGGCCAGAGTGTTTCTTATTGCCGAACTGACGACGGTAGGCGGTAGCGACTTTGTCCTGCCATAAATTAGATAGAAACCACTGGCAGTTTATTAATAGCTCGTGTGATTCAATGTTCGATATCTTTTCAATAATTTAAAATATAATAAATGAACCCCGCGTAAATTTGGTGACTAAAATAATAATAATAATAACGACATTGACGTCGAAAGCTCTAACGACTCAGTATAAAAATACTTCTACATACCGCGTTATCGCTTTCTATATTACGAACATTCTCATTTACATGGAAATTATAAAATATTATTAAAGTGAAATTTATAACTCTATAAATCATTTTAATTATGTAAAGAAAAACGTGCAAACAAAAATATCGCTTTATTTTTTTATTTGAGTTTAAGTAAATCAAAAATATTATAAATTTTAATGACAGATCTTTAAAATCATAACAACATTTCAAAATAATTCTATATATTTGATACAAAAAAAAAAAAAAAAAAATTGTGAAAAATTTCACAATGCATAACTTTATAATAATGATACTATATATACTTACTCTGTTTTCGCACAACCTCATTATATATTTAAAAATCTGACGACACCTGTGTTTTTAATTACGCTTGCATATTATTATTATTATAGTTTATAACTTTCCACTACTTTATTCGCGGTTATAGTTAGTAGTTGCTTGGTGGATGTCAAAAGACGCAAAAACCATCTTTCATCGCGCGCCTACATACAAATGTGTTTCGACTAACGACAATGGTTTGCGGTAATGCGTATATTATATATATATAGGTAGTATAGGTATACCTATATGATGTTATATACTCGCAAGTTAAGGGTCTCGAACAAAAGTGCGTTTTTTGAGTGCACGAAGCTCAGTTTGCCACTGCTGCAGCCGTACCGGCCTATACGACTTAATAATACTCGTATATACCTGTATGCAGAATCTACAGTATGTGCGTATTGTATTTTCTTATCCGTGCGGGAGATTTTTAATGAAGAGGACGGCGCTGCTGGTGCTGTGTAGCAGCGGTACCCGCAGCAGTCGGGTAATCTGAAACAAAACAAATAATCGCTGCGGCGTGCCCACAGCCACGCATGGGTATTATAATATTATTTCTTCGTCCGTGTCGTGGTTTATGTATACGTATTATATTATACGATTTATCATTTCGTAGTTTTCTAGTAATGTATTTACCGACTTGGAGCGTTTATGTAGTCACGTCGTTGTCATGACAATTTATATTATATTCTATCCCGTAAATGCGTATATTATTTACCGTGTGCGTACGGCTGCAGCATCTCGTAAAATAATCACGGATTCGCCGACGCGTATTTGTATTATGCGCGACTATCTACAATACTCTTTTGCAGATTTTATAAAGAGAAAATAGCATGATTATATTGTCGTAAATTCTATAGTCATTTTGTTTCGCTTTTTTCCCCCCTAAACCATTCGCAGCGTTCATACATAATATACGTAAACCTTCGACATCTTAAAAAGTCTTTTTGATCTATCTACTTCTGCGCGGGCTAGTTGATTCTTCGTAATATTATGTTTACACTCTATGTTTGTACCGAGCAATTGCAAATTCTGCGCGTTTATATTTGAAGTATAAATATATACCTATATTCCGTGGACCGGGATAATGTCGATAAAACACGATTTAGTGAAAACAGCATACTTAAACTCGAACGTTTGGCCGACGATCAAGTAGAGGTACGTCTCGGAGCCTCCCCCTCAAGAATTTGATTACCATGTAACGTATAATTTTTGAAATGACGATGTCCACAAGCTGATACATATATGTGATATACCATTCGCTGACGACGCATCGTAAACCGCGTGATTACCTAAATAAAACGACTCTGGAAATGATCCAAATAACGCACCGCTTATACGTCCGATCGCGTTCAATCCGCGATGGAGGCTCATATGATTTTCGCCGTACAAATTCTGATCCGAAATCCAATAACCGCGTGTTTACGGACGACCGTAAAATATTAAACGCCTGTCGAGGTAAGTTTTACGTCATAAAACTACGATAAATCTCTAGCGCAAGAGCGCTGCTGTAACGGCCAACGACTGCAATAACGCGCTCATGGCAGATAAACATTTATTTAATACCGGACCCTTCTTAAGGTGGTAATAACAACATTGTTCCCTTCCCACCACTTGCTCAATACGTTTACCTCGTCTTAAACTGTAGCATTTAACCCTGCATCGCCTCTTCTAGTTGACGAATCTTCGGTGACCAAACCTCCGCTTCGAGGTATAAGACATAATTATAATAATATAATGAATATTTGTGCGTTCACTTGCTGTGTTGTCGTACTACTGTCGTATATAGTAATCCTTGAGGCCGATTGGTTGATAAAAACGCCGTGAGGTTTAATGGCGCAAAGCAGAAAAGATTTCGGAAACAAATTAGGAGAGAAAAAAGTATTCCCTTTGTTTTCGCTTGATGAATTGAAGTAAGAAACGTCAGTGACAAGTCTGTTCTGGAACCATTGATCTTTTTTGTTTTCTGTTGTTCGAAATTAATCTGACGAGAAAAGGGTATAAAAAAAACAAGTGAAAGAGAGAGAAAAAATATTAGATAATACCTATGTGTATACAATATACACGTATACAGACTACCACGAATCGACGTGACAACGCATGTGCTTCGACGTAAATAGACGGAAACCGAAATTCGCACAGTCTCTGCGATGATGATGAGGTGAGAGGAGGAGAGGATACCTGTCAGAGAAGTTTTTCGGACGATCGATAAGTGAGTTAAAAGGGGGGGGAGAAGACCCGTTATAATATAATGGTCGTGTAAAGTTTTCGAACTTCCGCGGCAGCGGCGATAACATCGTTGTGTGCCCGGATGAAAAATGGCGGCCGGAGGTGGGTATACGCGTAGACGACGACAATGATACAAAAGTGTTATGCTAACCGGAGCGTAAATATAAACTCGTCGCAACTCATTGTTTTTTCTCAATATTATTGTGATTTGCGATATTTCTTCGACAATATTAACTTAAAATTTACTTCTATCGATTTCCGACAATTGTTGTGTTTTTCTGACATAGCCAAATTGGTAATATATATTTATGTGTATACCGCACCGCGGTAAAGTGTCAGCGACAATTCAGTCGCAGTAAACCGTTGTCCGTGTGCGTGTATTTGTGAGATGATACGATAGTGCTCTCAGGAAGGGATTCGACGAGAATGTCGTTTGGATTAATTGTGACGTACCATGGTAGACAAGTTGAGTAATTACACACAGGGACGGACGGTCGGTCGCACGATTGAGCGAAACTCGCTTTTACAAATCCCCCGTGTCCAGCTGGAGACACACGCTGTAGAGCTGCTGACTAATGGTCGGCTACCCCTAGCCTCCAGTCACCCATTCCTCTCCAATACAGCCTCCCTCGTCACAAGTTTTCCCGAATAAAACTAAATGTTTACTAGTGCCATTTGTAAACGTCCTACGTGGTATTTTAGTTTTGAGGTTTTTTTTCATTTCCGTTTCTAATGGAACCATCTTCTACTACCCGCCGTTGATCGCACGTATTGTTGTCATCAACCCTTACCGCTCGCTGTCCGAATACAAGGCGCGTATCATATACGAAAAACAACATCCCCTTTACCCCACATCATCGATTTTACCTAAAGTGCGCATTCGCATATGTGAACAATTAACGCATACCACATATACACATATACGGTTTATGTAAAAGCCTGGACTTACTCGCGGTGTTTTACAACACAATTCGTTTTAACGCCGATAAAATATTATACCTCCATCGCCTGTCCAATTCATCGTTAGCATCGCATCAACTCCTCTTCCCGCCACCCCTATTAACTGCCCATCCTTTTGTAGTGGTTACATCCCGTATTATTAATGGACGGCCTAGATATATAATATATTAATAACTCACTCTGCACCTCCCCGCTCTTTGAAACTCACTATTGTACCTTTATGCGCGTTCGAATACAAGCGATCCGAGCAATATTTCGTCATCTTTCCGCTGTTCATTCATCATTTTGGTTTTAATTCGTTTTCCAGAATGCATCGGCTCAAGCGGCACTACAAGCAGCCCAAGCTCTGGCTGGCCAAAGTGATGTACAAGGAGGTCCAAACACGGTGCTCCGGGTAATCGTCGAACACATGGTATTCCCAATCAGTCTCGATGTCCTCTATGAGGTGAGTTTGTCAGATTTTATTTTTTTACAGAAAATATCTACCATAAAACTATTGCTTTGTCATAAACAAGGTCGCGAAATTAGCAATATGCAACTATTAAGTATAAATTAAATCAAGGGAGATATTAATTTTTATTAATATTTGTGTATTACGTGTTTGTCATTTGGCTTTCGAATCAGAAAGTATGAAATGACGAACGAGCTCTAAAGTAACTCCAAGAAGCATGCCTGACGTTTTTTTAATCAAGTTCAAAACTTTGATTATATTATTTTTGACTTTGAGATCATTTACTCTACCAATCATTACTCAACGTTTATTGTCGAAGATGTGTTTTCGTGGTTGTATAAAAAACATGCGTCAAACGAGCTGTTTTGTTATCTTATCCATACATATTACATCTAATAATATGTAATATCTTATGCATCTGAAATGGTATATCGTCTTTTGAGTTCTGTTTTCATTGTGTTATTTATCGAGTTGCATTTCCGATTCAATCGTTTATATATATAAAACCAATTTCCTACAGTTGTTTTATTACATGCTCGGTGTTCTACCGAATTCTCATTACTCTATATAATTCGTGTAATTCAGAGTGATATTGCTAGTTTGAGACTGCATTTTTCTACATTTTAAATTAAACAACGATTGGAGTGTCATGGATGGACTCTATTTTAGTGCTATTTACTATGATAAAATATGCAATTTAATACATTATTGAGGAATAATGCTTTATAAAAGTACGCAACTTCCCCGCTGTCTGAACTATAGATGAGAAATTTTATTTTGTTTTACTATCATATATCATTATCGATACAATAATATTTTTCGTCAAATCCTAAATATAAGACATAAAAAAAATAAAAAATTTTTATATTAAAAAAGTGAATCGATCAAAAGTTTTCCAATTTAACTGCGAAAAATATATTTTTATATGAGTACCTAGATTATATTTACTTAATTACGGTGTTGTATAACAAACCAACTTTAATTTTAAAATTTAGTTTTACACTATACAAACTATAATATTTGTTGTATCAAAGTATGAAATACTTGCAGTACTTTTACGGGAATCCAAAAAGTTTATTTCTTTTTTTTTGGAATTTAGTTGATAATACTTATCGCTTTTAATTTTCCGTAGAATTGTTTTATTTACCTAGGAGTGAAAAAAAGAACAGTTTCCAATGCAATATTAATATTACATGTATCATATAATACAGAGTGTTAATTTTCATAAAATTTAAAATTGTTTTTATAATACAACACAAATATGTTGAATAACTGTGAAAGTTTTAGAATAATTTAAACAGATGTACAATTATCAGGTTAGGGGTACGACATCCTTACGTCGGGCCCGCTTACAAAAGTGGCATTCGATCGTGGGTCTCGTAAAGTGTGGCCGAAACAGGTGCGCTTGGGGGGGGGGGACCACGTAGATCTGTTGTTCTGAAAAAAAGGCAATTCTATGGTTTCTTCATTGTACAAAATTAGGAGGCAGTCTTCTGAAATGTTCGGTACCGGGCCTGAAATTTAAAATTACACCACTGACGTTTCGTGACGCCACTCCGCGTGATCTCGAACTAACCGAGCGTATTGCGAAACGGAACGCGCCCGCGCATTCTGGACATCGACTGTGATCCATCTTCCGCTATCGTCGTTTACCCCTGTGGCGCAAGTTTAATTACGTTTTCACATTAAACCTCTGCTGCTGTCGCTACTGGACGGCGTGTATAGTTATAGACGTATGGAGTAATATATATATATATATATATATACATGTGTGCGTGCAAGCCACTCGGTCTGGAGTTGCTGTGGTCTTATGCATTACGCTCACAACCCGGTCAACACTCTGGCGTCACGTTTTCGCATACATCTGAGAAACGTGGTGTATTTTTATCCGCACACGAGCACGCGACCATTTCTGAGCATAGATGTAATCTCTACCCCCAAAGACCTAGCTCTGTGACGACCTCCGGGCCGTGCTGGTCTTATTGCAATCGCACGCAACGTTATGTGTACGTATATACATCAAAAAAAATGTTCGTCTATCGGAAAACGTCTTGCTTTAAATCGTACTGTTACTTATTTTAAGACGTTTCGAATTAAACTAAGTGAAACTATTTAATTAAATTTATGTATACTATGTTATATAAGTTTAACATTCTTGAAAAAAAAAAGCAATAGGTTATTGAAGTTTTTTAATTAATTCTCATTTATTTATATTTTGTTATTCTATTGCTACTCGTTTTATTCTGATAAATGGTTTTCAATAAAACAAAAGTCGCATAAATTTAAGAACATTTCAGAATATAATAATAGTGATTTAATTTACTGGCGCACATCATATTTATGATATGTATATTATATTAAATGAAATTACTACAATTGTCAGAGGTTAGAATATATAAATAACAAGTTACTTAGGTATTGCTGTTTTAGGTATTTTTTCTATGATACAAGTACCTACATTATTACAAATCCGTTTGATATTTTCGATACGACGACGTAGCTACATAATATATTATAATATGTTAATGCATTGCGTATAACGTATATGAAGAGACACCAGTCATGTACAACAAAATTCGCCTTACACACCACTCCATCCCATTCTCATTTATTCGTTATGCATAAAGTCAACTCTAAAGTTTGTGTATAGAACAACAACGGGTATTATTTTTTTTTATTATTCTTTTTTCGTGTTTTATATCCAATTAAAAATAATGAAAATAAACATTTACACAACGTCATTGTTGCAATGAAAAACATATTAACGGTTTTTTTTTTTTTTTAAATTCTCGTTTAATAGCAATTGTGTATGTATAATGTATATACAGAGTTAGTCGCGTATTGTACAACACGAGTAATTTTTCTCTCGCTTGGCATAAGCTCGGACTCTCAAGTATACAAGTACTCATTTACTCATAACTTTTCCTCTTCCGTAATAAAATCAGATCAATCTCGTAATGACTGGTAGTGATGAATAAATACAAAATATATGAGTTATAACGGGGTAACATTATAATATAATATGTGTATAGTCATAATCCATGATTACGTGATATTTAATGTCAGTCGTTGTGTAATGACATTTGTTTTTGTTTTTTGTCTAAACGATGTAATCTCGTCTACAAACGCACAATGTAGTTGTTTTAAAAATATTCACATTTCTTGATCACCCGGGTCTATACTCTACGCTATCGTTGTAGTCTTGTTTTTAGATCTCGAGCGACGACAGAAAATATATTTTTATATGATAATCGTTTTTTCTCGATTTTTATTTTTATTCCCCCGTGAATACCGTTTCTCGGTACTGAGCGGTGAAAGAACTCCAAAAGTTTCCGCCCGCGTCGTATTTCGGCAGTCTTTTATAACAGTCGTCAAACGGGTCGTTTTTTCAATTTTCTTAATAGTTTTGCTTTCGAAAAAAAACTACTCTGTGTGATCCGTAAAAAAATATCAAATACGACTCGCAGTAAGTCCATCCAGCTTTTGTGTTTTTTTTTCTTATTTTCTTGTTCTTTATCGATTGGCACGGACATTGAACGTTGGTAGTTTGTGTTTATATAATCAATTAAAATACGATGTATTTATTCTACACTACTGCGTATATGTTGATAATTGAAATTTGAATAAACTCTTTTGATCTCGTTTCGAGTTTCGACTTTTACATATTCACGAGATTGGCAGGCGATGGAAAGTGTACATTACACACATACACACGCGCAAGTGTACATGTGTAGAGTAGAGGAAAATCGTATCTCTCGATGAACTTTAAGTATATAGTATATACAGGTAATCTATTATATCGTTTTGTCCCCGTTTACAAGTAACCGCTCTCGTGGGTAATACATAACTGCACTAGCAATGTGTACAAGTACAAACCATATAATGCATATTATGTAGGTACAAATATATTATATTACATATTATATTGTAGCATGTCTATATGATAAAGGTCCGTTTACAATGAATACAGCAACTGAACGCAGTTAAATCGTTTCGATCATCGGATCCCGGCATTATATTTCGATCCTATCGGTTTTCAAAAATATCTACTAAACATTTTAGAGATATTTTACACTCTAAATATACGCATATGTATTTAAATTTATGTAAATTTCCCGCTTGGCGATCTCGATGACGAAAGTTAGTTTGGCAAAAAGTTTTTGTAAACCAACCTAGACTTTTATTCCGCCCGCCAAACTGCGCGTAAATTATAAATATATTTAGGTACATTTATTATGTACTAATTCGCGGCTAGCGACTATACATCACAAAACTCGCTTGTATCTACCACGTCGTTGATTTTGTTATAGGTAATTCTATAATTATAACGAATCGTGTGCGCGATTACATTCAAGTGCATGCCTAATCGGAATTCGTATTCATATTCAGACGCTACTGACAAGAACAATTTAATCAAAATGTTATTAAAATCAACGTTCAAAATACAAAAACACTGAATTTAAAAAAGAATAATGACGTTAAATACGCTACTAAATGCTCAAAACCTATTATATTATGCCATATAAAATAGTAACTTTGATGTATAATATTATTCCTTCATGTATTATAATTTCCATCAATTTCGAATCACGAAATTCGGACCACCCGCGGTAGTGGTTTTACTATGCATAAACGTTTCGGTCTCTATGTATTATTAGTTACGACATAAAACGCGCATTATTTACGTCGAAACATTGTATTATTTCATACATATGATATATTTGCACGTTTAAATAAGTATTATCGGGCCTTTCGATGATAGCCATACTGAGTGCATATTTCAAAATATTATATTTATATACCTACATACTGTTTTTGACACTTCATTGATTCGTTTCGATCGCTGACGCGAATACGATGATCGATCCCCTGCAGCCGCTCTCGTGAATTATTACTATTTTTCATTATTTGTGTAAGTATACTTTACTTTACTTTTTTTTTTTTATACAGTTATAATATTTATTCATTTATTTTTTTATTTTTATTTATTAACT